ATATATAAAATTCCTGCTATAGAAAACAAAAACCCCAACCTTGGTTTTTGATATCGTTTTTTTAAAGGAAAAAAATTTTTTTTTTTCTTTTGCTTTGGGAAAAAACTAGCTCGAGATGGCCAGGAAACACAGGAATGGTGCCACGGAGTTACATGATGCTGCAGTTTTGCACAGCCTGAGCCTGAGAGGAAGAAAGAAAAAAGACGACAATTAAAACCAACTCGACGTCACTAGCCATTTGCTCTGGCTACGAAGGAGGCAGCAATGTCGAAGCGGGACCCTCTGGATGCCCCTGGCTCTCGTCCGCCCTGGCCCCTGGGGTATAACAATTGCCCCTTGGCTGGGGTATTTATAGCACTGACGTCGGAAATTTGAGAATTTGCGGTAATATTGACTAATATTGAGGGTATTAATATTCAAGCGCTGAAATATTCATGTTACCAGCGTGAATAATGCTCGGCGGTGGTGGAACGAGAGCCGTGGAGGATGAGGGATGCTCTGGGGTTGTCAAGGTGACCAAGCATGGGATGGGGCGGGGAGATGCCACGGCCGCATCCTTTTCCGATCCCTCTCAGACTCCACGCTCCCCTTACAAAGAGGTTTGTGCAAGCTCGAAGGCGCCCGGCGCAAGAGAAAAAGCAAAGAGGAGGAGAGGACGGAGGGGAAGGGACCCTCGCAGAGTTGCCTTGTTGAGAAAGGACGATGCGGGGACAGGGTGGAGACCCAGCAGCCCAGGGACAACCTGGATCCGGGGGTCTGGAAATGGCACGAACCTGCCTACGGGGGCTGGAGCTCCCCAGGAGGTAGGATCTGGTCACCAGGCTGTCCCCGAGGCCGATGCTGCCGGAGTCGCCCATGCTGCGGTAGCTGCGGGTGATGGTCACGCTGGAAGTGGATGAACCCGAGGACATGGTGTTGATACCGGTGTTCTGGTTCCCCGACTTCTCGGCCGGCTGACCGCACGTGCCGCAGACCACCGTGCGAGAGCGGAGGTTGTATTCACCGGGGTCCCCAGAGCCACTGCAGCT